CTTCAGCCAGAGCCAGCCCACACTGGCACAGGCTGCCCCTGCTGGCTCTGACTGCCATGGTCCCAGCCCTCAGCTTCCTTCTCACCCCCTTGGAGCCACAGCCAGTCCCCCAGCGCCCAGTGTGGGCTTGTGCCAAGGGGCGGAGGAAGGTGTGTGCCCCTGGCAGCCAGGACAGCAGGCTCGAATTAGGGCAGGGGAAGCCAGTCCTCGTGGCTCACCCTGCCCTGGTGGCTCAGAAGTCCTTCCTGTGAACCTGGCATCACTGAGGGGGGCAGCTGCTGCCCGCCCTGCCTGTAGCCTTGCTGACTAAGTTCTGTGGCCGGACTCAGGAGAGGAGCATTTACTGTACAGACGCAAGGTGGCTCACGGACCCCAAGGCCAGGACACAAAGTCCAGGCAGACCCCTTGGAGCAGACAGTGGAGGCCACCCCCTGCCTCTCTGGAGCCTGCACTCTCCTCTTGCCTCTGGGGGATCTGCTCCCTCCTGCACACCCGCCGCCGCCTGTGGTGTGCCAGGCTCAGGTTGGCTCACAGTCAGCCTAACCAGCGTGGAGGCTTCCAGTCCCCACATCTCAACCCTGACTTTGTCTGCACTGAGAGCACAGCCCTTCCTGGGGCAGTGCCCGTGGGACAAGCGCCTCAGCTCACCTGCAGCAGCTGCCCAGCCTGAGCCCTCATTAGAGGGGTGAGCAAGGGCTCAGAGGAAGGGTGGATGGATTTGTGGTGTGGACCCCGAGATGAAGCCGCTGATCACTCACAGCGGGGCCAAAAGCACCAGTAGGCTGGGGGGCCCTGCCTCATTGACACCCTTGTCTCCACTTCCCATAAGCCAGCAGTCTCTAATTGAAGGGGGCTCAGCGCGCCTCTCGTCTCCCTGGTCTGACTTCACCGTCTGCCTTTCTGAGGGTAATCTCATCTTCCCCATTTCTGAATACAGGGTGGGGGGCCCTCACTAGAGCCCCATGTTCCAGTCTTGTTGAGGACAACTTTTAGGACATCAGTGCAAGGACAGTGGGGTTTAGGCGTCCTAAGGTCTGAGGCTAACTGGCCTGGGGTGGGTTTCATTGTGTGGGTATGTCTTAGTCTGTTTGGGCTGCTATAATAAAATACCTTAGACTGGGTAATTTATAAACAACAGAAATGTGTTGCTCACAGTTCTGGAGGCTGGGAAGTCCAGGGTCAGGGTGCCAGCAGATCCGGTGTCTGGTGAGGGCCACTCTCTGCTGCCAAGATGAGCCCTGTTGCCATGTGGAAGGGGCTAGGGAGCTAGCTCAAGCCCCTCTTATAAGGCTCTATCCCATTCATGAGGGGGAGCCCTCATGACTTAATCACTTCCCAAAGGCTCACCTCTTAATATTGTCACACTGGGTATTAGGTTCTAACATATGAATTGGGGTGGGGGGAGGTAGACACCAATGTTAGGACCATAGTCAGATGTAAGGGAGCCTGTCCTCGGGGCCATGGGCCTCGCATGGGCAGGGCTGCCCACAGCCCATCATGCCCAGCCCCCTCATTGGCGGTGCCACAGGCACATCTGGGTTGGCAGGGCCCGCAGGCTGTGTGCCACCTAGAGACCCCGGTCATTCTCCGCTCTGAGCCAGTGGCCGGTCAAAGGTGGCTGCAGCTCCAGCAGTGCACGTGTGGCTGCCGACGAGCGTGCTCCCTGAGCCTGCAGAGCAGGTCTGTTTGAGGTCACCACTGCAATGTGTATTTTGAGTATTTTCAGCTGTATGTGCACTGCAGGGACTTGGCCCGTGCACTGCGTGTGCAGCTCATACTTGGTGGGCTGTGTAATGTGCAGAGGCGTTGCCAAGGGCAGCGGAAATGTGGATTTTTTCCAGCATAATCATATGAATCCTACCACCACCCTCCCTTGCCCCTGCCTCCGGGTCTGTGCCGTCCCACCCCGCGGCCGGGTAGCTCCCACTCCAGGAGTTGCTGGGATCTGCTGGGGGTAGAAAGAAGACAAAGTTGTTTTGTCCCTATGGGTTCTCGAGGACAGCAAGGTGGATGTGGGGGTGGGCGGCAGTAGTTCCGCAGGGTTTCATCAGTGTTAAGCAGTTAAGCAGGTCCCCTTCAGGCCGGTGTTGGCTGCGCCTGGGGAAGCGGGGAGGCTGCTCTGGCTTTGGATGTCCCTCCTGGTTTTCCAGGGCATTCACCGAGGGGGGGTGGCAGGAAGCTCAGAGACCAGGGAAGGGGGAGCAGGGGTCGCCAGCCCTTCTGATATCAAGGGCCATGTTCTTATAGGTCCCCCAGGGGGTGAGCAGGTTCTCTGGGGGACCTGGGGGGCCAATCCCAGGCTAGACCTTGTCCAGCATCACTTTCTCTGGCCTCTTCTCGGCAATGTGGAGCAGCCCCGCCAGGTCTGCCCTCCTACCTGGCCCTGAGCTGAGGCCCAAGATCCTGAGCCCTTGAGATTAGTTTAATTAGTTCCTAGGGCCGCCAGATCAAAGTACCATAGACTAGGTGGCCCAAACAACTGAGATTTGTTTTCTCACAGTCCTGGAGGCTCGCAGTCCGAGAGGAAGTCGCCAGCAGAGCTGGTTTCTTCTAAGGCCCCTCTCCTTGCCTTATAGGTGGCTGTCGTTTTGCTGTGTCCTCACACGGTCTTCCCTTCGCGTGTTTCTGTGTCCTAATCTCCTCTTCTTATGAGGATACCAGTCATATTGGGTTAGGGCCCAACCTAATGACCTTATCTTAATTACCTCCTTAAAGACCCTATCTCCAAATATAGTCACACTCTGAGGGACAGGAGCTTCAATATATGAATTTGGGGGGACACAGCATACAGCAGCACCAAGAGGTGCTCAGGGCCTGGGATCAAAGCTGCTTTCTCCAGGGGCCCTGGCCAGAGCTGCCTTCCACAGCATCCTTGTCAGGCCACCCCAGCCCATCCCAGCTGAGGGGACACTATGCCTGGGCCAGGGCCCGATCCGAGGTGCAGTGCAGGGAAACAGCTGTATCCTGAGGAGGCTCATTCTGTATTCAGCTCAGTCCTGGGGAGAGGAAACGGGGCCTGTCAGGGAGGCCGGGGTGGCTCCCCCAGTGCTTAGCTGAGGAGCACTCAGTTGCCACGGTGACCTCCGTCTGCACAGTCAAATACACATGGCCCAGCCACTTCTCTGGGCTGGAGGGCCCCCCTTTTCAGAGTTCACACTGAGTGTTGAGTCCCTTGGTGACAAAAACATGGAAACGGTTGCCATGGCAGCCATTCTTTGGCTCCCTCAGACTGGAGTGCAAAGTTCAGGATGCCCAGGAACAGCTGAAACGAAAATATGGGAAAATCCGCCACTTCTCTCACCCCAGAAGGATGAGTGGGTGGTGCTCGATGCTCCCCTGGCCCAGCCGTCCCTGCCCCTCCCCATCACCCTGGGCTGAGTGGGACTGCGGGGAGGGCCCCTGGGAGTGAAGGTGGCAGAGTGGCCCCCAGAGACCTTGAGAGAAACTGGCCAGTGGGGGAGGGCAGGCTGAGCTGTGGGTGGGCTGTGGCCTGGAGCTGTACATGGGGAGGTGATGGCCGCTGGGTGTTCCCTGGGGACATGTCCTCGTGGCTGGAGCCAGAAGCCTGTGTCTCATTTTCTTCAAGTGGTGCGCCTTTCTTAGGAGAGCTCAAGACCACTCAGTGGTCAGGGTAGTCTTCAGTCTGGTCCAGGGGATGAAGCTTCTCTGCTCAGTGGGGTGATGGGCACAGGGTGTGGCAGGTGGCCTCAGCAAGGGGAAGTGGGCCTGTTCTGACCCTGGGGATGAGGAAGATGGCAATGTTTCCATTGAACAAAGGTGAGCTCAGCAGAAGCCTCTTCAGGTACCCCCTGGACTGGGGGGAATGATCACATGTCCCCCCAGCACTTCCCCAAGGAGGTCCCATGAAACTCTGGTGATCTGAGATGCACCCACCAAAGGATTCTGCAGTCAGGGTGTTTTGGCAAATCACCACATGCACACAATTTGTAGATTAAAGGCTCTGAAAAATCCTGCAGTAAGGAAACATCTCAACTTTGTTCAACCTAGGATTTCACAAACCTATTGAACAAAGGTCTCTCTCCTTTTTAAAAAAAAAAAAAAAAAGCATTTCCTCCTCCTTTTAAAATACCTCCTACTATCCTGCAGAAATAACATCTGTTAACATTTACTAGGGCACTGATTCTGAAAGCATCGGCACCACCTGGGGCTTTGTGAGAATGCATATTCTGGGGCCCCACCCAGATCTGTTGAATCAGAAACTCTGGGGTGGGAGCCAGCAGTGTATGTTTTTACAAGTCCTCCGGGGGATTGTGATATACATTCCAGTTCGAGGATTCCTGCACTAGGGGAAATACTGGCAGAGAATTGGGAGGAAGTAGCTTGGGGGACTTGAGAGAGGGAGGTGGCCTGGCAGGGACGGTGTGCACAAGGACCCAGGGCTCTGGAAAGGCTCTATGGCCACTCTGAAGTGCAGATTCTTAATGTTCTGCATCTAGGCACTGAGACTGGGTCAAGGGCAAGGCTGTGTGTCTGGGGTGTCATGAGGCGCTTGGTGTTAAGTGATTGGGGCCTTTGGAGATGCAGGCACCTAAGGAGGTCCCTTCTCCTCCAGTGTCAGAGGAATGGCCAGCATTGCTGTCATCGAGGGCACCTGCCCTGGGCAGATGAACAGTCCCCAGATGAAGGCTGGGGGCGTGGTCAGGACCTGGAGGCTTCCTCTGGCCTTCGCAGAGTCTAGTGGACCTCGGCAGTGGTCAAGGGGGCTTGTCTCCAAAGGCAGTGCTGGGTGGCACCTTCTAAATAGGCAGGAATTAAGGCTTCTTAGAGCAGTGGCTTTGGCTCAGGTATGAGCAAGTGGAGTTCCAGGATCAGCTTGGCCACCACCCCCTCATTGCCCTGTGGGCTACCCTCTGCAGTGACTTCCCAGCTCAGGGCTCTCGGAGCGGGAGAGGCAGGCAGGGCCAGTCTGGCCACAGGAGCTGGGGACCACGCCGTACTTGCTGGCCCTTGGCCCACCGGCTGCCTGTGCTTCCTTGCAGCCGTCCAGATCCACATCCTGAAGGCGGACAAGGCGGGGGACTGGTGGAAGTTCACGGTGAACATCATCTCCGTGTACAAGCAGGGCACAAGCCGCATCCGCCGAGGCGACCAGAGCCTGTGGATCCGCTCGCGAGACATCGCCTGCAAGTGTCCCAAAATCAAGCCCCTCAAGAAGTACCTGCTGCTGGGTAACGCCGAGGACTCTCCCGACCAGAGCGGCATCGTGGCCGACAAGAGCAGCCTGGTGATCCAGTGGCGGGACACGTGGGCGCGGCGGCTGCGCAAGTTCCAGCAGCGCGAGAAGAAGGGCAAATGCAAGAAGGCCTAGCGCGGAGAGCGGGCTGCCCGCGCCGCGGCCGCCGTGGACTTGGCCCGCGAGGGCCCCCGGGGGG